ATCTCGACGCCGCCATCGGGTTCGAGACTAGACGTAACGCCAGTGACGTACAGGTGCTCCAAGGAATCAGGAGTACGGATGTGCCACAGTTTTTCAATATTCTCCGACAGAAACTGAATGCTACCGTTCCCGCCACCGGTACTACGGTAGAAAGTGGTGATACCGTAGCTCCGATTACCGGTGTTAATGGGACTGGTAGTGTTGCAATCGGTGCCTAATTGTTTGCTTTTAAATTAAGTTTAAAAATGGATTTCTGAAAATTTGTTTTTAATTTTTATTTTATCTTTTGATTTAAATCAATAAATATTAAGTGTGTTTATACCTGGCTATTTTGTTTATTACTGTTAAGCCTTGACTATAACTTTTCAAAAACATTTTTATAAATTATATGCAATATATACACTATTTACCATAAAAATTCATTAGAATTAATTAGTAAATTAATTTAAAAGTTTACCCAACATTTCTCATTGAAATTACATGGGGATTTTACTTCATTTTTCACAATTTGCTCTAAACAAGTTCAATATTTAAATTTCTGTATCTTGGTCATTTTTATTGCGATTTTTGAAATACCAACATCACACTGTTTGTCAACAAAGTCCGCTTTTTATAAAATAATAAACTTCTAAAATTTAACGAAAATCTGTTTCTAACTTTTTAACCATGTGTCCTAGAACAAATCTAAATACTTCATTGGAAAGAGCACAAAAAAATAAGTCCAGATTAGATTTTGAAATATTTTTCAATTAAGTAATCTTTCAATCTAGTTTAAAAACATGTTTTAAGTATGATTAGTATTATAACTTTATTAAAATTACAAAATCATATATACAAATTAGGTTTCAAAAATCTAATCTGGACTTATTTTTTATTTATTTTATTTATTTATTTGTATTTATTTTTTATAAAATAATTTATTCAGAAAACTCAAATTAAGATAAATTATTTTAAATTGAATTAATTTATTGAATTTCAAATTTATAATTACAGTATGAGATACAATAATAGAAAATAATAATAAATATTATAATATCATTTTATTGTTACTATTATCATACTTTATTTATAGTGAATTAATAAGCATACAAAAACAATTAAATATATTTAAATTTTTACCAGATCAAAAACAATATTTACAAATTATATCTACGTGAAGTAAGTGGACTAAATTTCTTGAGATTATTACAGTTTTGAAAAATAAAATATAATTTAAAAATTATTTAATTTAAATGTATAAAATTATGAACTTGAATAGAATTATACATTGCAATGTGTTGTGAATGAAAACATAATTGCAATATTGCCTTGTAATAAACATAGTATGCTTGATAGTTATTAATGATTGTAATTCAATTAAAATGTTTTCAAAAATTAACGTGCTCAAAGCATTACTCATTATGCTTTCCAAATATCACTAATTATCAAGAATTAAATATTATTCACCATGTTTATAACTAAAAACAACTGAATTACTTTTATATAAATAGCAGTGTTTGTATTTAATAATTTTTATACACTTCAAGCAAAAATAATAATTTTACAAACTTAACCTACCTCATTATTACTAAAAACTAAAATGTTTACCAAAATAATTGCAATATTATTGATTGGATTCATTGGTAAGTAATTACAAAATTATTTTATAAAAATATTATCATATTTTCCAAATCCGTACGAATAGTATGTATTGAATGTCAACCAGAAAATGGTTGTGAGTGTGGATCCGGTGGGGGTCGTGGGGGTGGACGAGGGGGTCGTTTCGGTGGTGGACGTGGAGGTAATGGACGTCCTAATGGTGATCAACAGTCAGGGTTTGGAGTGTCTAATGGTGGACAACAGGACGGATTTGGTGGCCAATAAATTGGGGGGGGGCTGTTTAAATAGAGGTGTTAAAAATAAAGTGTGTTTAATAATTATTATTAACATTGTAATCTATTTAAGACATTTATATTTATGAATTATTCAACATTTAAAAAATAATACACTTTTAAAAAGTTCACTAAAATTTTAATATATTAATTTTATATAACAATTTAATAATTTATATATTTTTACGGTTTTTAATTAGTTTTTAATCATTGTGAATTTTAGTCTATTATCTTAAATTAAACAAAATAAAATCAATTAAAAATCTACTTTATGCAAGTTAAATATTGATTACAGCTAGTTTGTTCTAGTTCATTCAAGATTAATGAAAAAATATTTGAAAGCTAAATAAACAAAATTAAAAATATTTTTAAAACACTTGATAAACTTATCACGTGACCGTGAAATATATTTATTTAAATCTGTTATCAATTATTAATAATATTTTGCGAAACATGTAACAGTTGACTCATCAGTACACATTTATCAATAATAATTACAACTAATCCACCATATTTAAGAATTGTGTATAAAACCTACCCACCACATTTATGTAACATACAACACAATTCATTTAAAATAATAATCATCAATAACATATTATATTAAAATGTATAAAATAACATTAGTAATATTTTTCATTTTATTAATATGTAAGTACACTATTTACCCATACAAGCTCTATCTAATAATTGTATTTATAAATTAATTCACACTGACCTAGGTTCATTTAGTTATGAATCGGCAACTATTCAGGACATTATGGTCCGTAAGAATGACAATAAGCCCATTGTATTCACACGTAAACCACACGCGATTGTAGTCACTGAATCCGACCTGGGTGATGGGTATACGTTACGTAAAATTAATTAATTATACTGGATAATTTCGTTCTACGGTAAATATGGCTAAACATATTTGTCACCAAGCATTAAAATAAATTGTAAATTTATTTTTGATTATCTATTAATCCCTAAATTGTAATGATTAATAAACTCCGTGAATATACTGTACATCTACTAGGGATACCGGAAAATAACTTCCGATTTATGACACATTTTATTAATTTAATTATTAGAAATTTTCTACTTGGAATTATAAATCAATTAATATATCATTTTGAAGAGTGAATATGTTCACAAAATTATATCATTTAACCATGATAAATCTTGTTCAAAAAATTGCTGTTTCTGGCTATTTTTACATGCAATTCAGTTCAAATTTGGTATAATTTAACACAATTTAAATATAAATGTGTATTATAAAATAACCACCCACACCATAATAATATGTTATAGCTTGTTAGAAAGGTCTATATGTCAGCTTTCATATGGAGTATTTTTAGTTGACCTAGTTTCTATATTGTGACATTTGAACTTATTTATTGACCTTTAGTGAGAATTACAAGAAATTTTATATAAATTCCAATCCCACCGAGGTTAACTAAACATAGTTTTATTAAGCAATAATTGTAGACTAAAAAACAGTTGA